TTTGCCCATAACAGATAGAGCACAGGACTTGCTATCAATGTTATTTAGATTTCTTGGGGCAGATCAAATAACTTGAAGGATTAACATCAAAATAAAAAGACTCAGAAGCATGAGGAAAACACAGGAAACTCTAACCTCTTCAACACTGTCATTTTTCAACAGATTCAATTTGGAAAAAAAAAGAAAGAGAGAAAAGAAAGATATTTTGGGATATAGTCCCACTTCTGATACAGGAGACTTGGAGATCAAAATATAAACAGGCAACTTTTTCATGAAATGATTAGACCCCAGATCTAATTCTCTTTTTCTGTTTACTCTTGGCACTCTCTAAGACAGAGAAGCTTTGCAGATAGAGCATGTGCCCAGAAGTCTAGCTTAATGGATCAATTTTTTTCTGTTTCCAAACTCCAGAGACACCCAGTACTGCCAGGTCATGTTGTAATAGACAGCAGCACATTCAGCTAAGGAGATCATTATTAAACCACTTCAGTTCATTCACAGATCTACAGATTTTTGCCAGGAGGATGTGAATGTTATCTGTGTGCATCATTTCCGAAGTCATCCCTCACCTATTATACCATACTTCTCTGTCATAACCCAGCAGTTGGTCTCAGCACTATTATTTATGCTCACTTTCAAACCCTTGTGTCAAATTACAAGGAACACTAACATCTTATTACTGCCTTTTGGAGTGGGGACTATAGTATTTTTCCAGCACTGTTTATTTTAAATTTTAAGTTATTATTGTTATTTCTTCTTGGTGGTAAGAAGTCCAGTTGGAAGGATTTTCCACCAGGCTGAGAGTTCCTGAGAAACCGTGACAATATTCAGCATTCAAGATTACCTAGACAGACATATTTTATAAAAATTGCATTGCCTTTGATTGCCTTCCTATGAATAAGCTTGAATGTTGAGATTCTAGAAGATTGAATTTCAGAACATATTTAACATATTTCTACCCAGCAACCTTGGGATGTCTCCTCAATAACGGAGATTATGAATGGATTGTTATTTGGTATGAAAACATTTGCTCAGGATAGATAGGCTTCCTGAAAAATGTTATACATCTTTACAGCTGACATTTTTGTTGTTTTGAATTAGGTTGGCTTTTCTTTTCCACCACCAGTTTGAAATATTTCGCCTATAAAGCTCTTCCTATCCTACCTTAAACATAACTGGCAATTTTCCCTTGGAAATTTAAGAACTTGAATAAAGTCACATCCATGAAAATACTTTTATTAGTGGGAAAGCCCAAGTTTCCCATACTTGTATAAATACCAAATGATACTTGTTTAGCTTCTCGTGTGTTAGGCTGGTGATCCAAGGAGGTGAAAGCAGGAACATTTTGAAATTTTCATTTTTTAATGGTAGTCTTCATGTTTAAAGAAAATTAGGATTATTTTTTTTTCTCAGGTATCCAAAAGATTACTTAAATAATTCATGAAAGATAATATCCTTAGGAATACTCAAATAAAAGAATACCAATGGTCCAATATTTTACACATAGAGGAAAGAGATTGACATAAAAAGACAAAGTTGAATTCAAGGATGACATAACAATTATATCTCATTAGATTCTAAAGACAGGAATTTTTATATCATAAAATCTATTCAAAGTATATGTGAAAGTCTTTACTTACAGGTTTTTTAGGAATAAGGAAATCAACAGTAGCAAAGGTTGAAGAGAATAATTTTTTTAAAAGTTTCATGAAACACAGATGTTTGTTCCGATTTCTCCTCTCTTTTCATGGGCTAATTAGAAATTCCTTATGTTAATCACCTCTCCAAATGTCTAATATCTTGTCTAACCCAAACAACTCCTCTTCTTGGAGCAGCTGCCCACCACCTCTCACTGAACAGGACCTCAGAGTTGAAGAGTCTGTGCTTAAAATGAACTTCATGGAGTCTAGGATCATTCTACAAAGTTATATGAGTAATCAATTTTGAGAGGCCTTTAAATTGCAGCATGGTTTTAAAGATGACAGAGTAAATCACTTTTCATCTCCCTCACACTGCACAAATTATCCTAAGACAGAATAACAAGAAATAGAAAGCACAAATTCCGTTTTTGGCTAGAAGGTATATGAAGCCACAAACTCTGATATAGGAAGATTAAAGTAGATAAAGAAAGGTTAAGGACATAGCAGAGATGAGGAAGTGAAACCTAAGGCTCTGCAGAGGAAGATAGGAATAAAGGCCAGACTTCAAGAAAAGACATAAGAACTAGAAGCTTCAGGTACATCAGGTAAGATTTTTCTTACGTCGAGTAGGAGTAAAGAAGGTGAGTGGGAGACCAGCTAAACAGTTCGATAAAAAAGAGACTTATTTCTAGTAGTATGATAGAGTTGATTGCACTCTGTGTAAACAACAAAAGTCATTTTAATGCATTTGGAAGTTACTAGAAACCAAGAGAAATCTCCAGTTTCCTTCCCTCCACTCTTAGGGGCCGTGGAAAAATAGTGCTGTAACTTGAGCCCCAAATCACAACAGTAAGTAAACTTCAATAAGTAAGTTTCTAGGTTGGTTGCACTAGGGTTATGAAAGTAAAGGTGCCAACGCCTGATGAACTGGTGTTGAGAGATTCATCATGGATGGTCCCATGGCAAGACATGAGAGATAAATATGAAACTCTTAATTAATTCAAGGTTACGAAACTGTACATGTGACTCCAGCCCAACATGTGCAAATCTTCTCTGGAGGAAAATGTCTCAAAATTCCTAAAGATTAAGGTCTAAAAAGTATGGGCACACAATCTAAAATTACAAAATGCAAAATGAAAAGGGCCACTTATAAGCAAGAGTGAGCTTGGATTTAGATTCCAACATCTTCAAGTTTCAAAATTATCAAAAACATAATCAAGAATAAAAAAATTTCAAAGACCAAAGTTTTTTAAAAAGGTGCTAAGAACACAACCATCAAAAATTGCTAGGCATGTTTGAAAAAATGATCAAAATAAATCTTAAAAGTGAAATACATAATTACTGACATTTAAAACTAAACAAAGGAGTTAACTAATATATTGAACTCAAATAAGAAGATAACTAGAAAACAGGAAGATGAATCTGAAGAAATGACCATAATGGAGCAAAACCAGAAAAGGAATACAAAATACAAATGGGCACTTAAGAAACATGAAAGTAGAAGCAGAAGGAATTATATATGCAGAACTAGGTTTAAGAAGGCAGGAACAGATAATGTGAAGAAAGATCACATTTTAAGAGATGAACGCTGATTTTTTTTCCCCAGAATTTATTAAAAAGGTACTCACAACACAGCATAACTCATAAACACAAAGACCACAGGGCATATTAAGCAAAAATTTTTAAAAACTGTAGAACTGAATAATTCTAGCAAAAAAGAGACAGTATAATAAAAGCACTCACAGAGAGGAAAGAGGCTAACTATAAGATAGCAAGAATTAAGATAGTCAGAAAGGAAGGAATATTGATCAAAATGCTAAGAAAAGTAACTGTCAAGAATTGTATGCCAACACCACCACTCAGCTGAAACTGGATGCCAATTCTATAATTAAAAAACAAATAGAAATGAAACTTCTTGAGGAGAATAAATTTTTTTCAGGTAAACAAAAAAGAAAGATGAGGAATGGTAGAAATGTGTGGCGGATATTTAAATTTAAAGTCTGTTGCCACATTGCCATTACAGTCCCTCAGAATCCTCCCCTTTGCTTAGAACACTCATATCTCACTATTTTTGCACTTTCTAAAGTAGCTCTGGAAATCATCTTTTGTGAGTGTCTTTATGAGTCGTGATAAAAAATGTCATGCGTGCTACTGTCAAATGCCATTCAATAGGAAGGCTGGTTCATGAAAGCATTACGTTATGTCTTGCCCCACCTTACTACTGAGTCTGGCACCAGGAGACTTCTAGCTGTTCGCCAAAGTCATAATCACCGTGAAAAGTAAACTTTTTGAATCAGTGCCAGACATTGAGGCAGACACAACAGCATAACTGAAAGACATGCAAAGGACTTCCAGAACTGCTCAGAAAGTCATAAGAACAATGGAATAAGTGTGTTCCCAGTTGTCGACTCTTTGTGATAGCTCCTGTATGAGTGGGGTTTTATTCATAATGCCATTGCCTAAACCAATCTCTTTAGAAGAGTCCTATCTATTCTCTCTTCCAGCAGATAGAGTGTTTCTGTAACATGGTAAAAGATATGAGTCTAGTTTTAATCTTCAACATGTAGAAAGCCAGTTTTTCCAGCACCATTTGTTAAAGAAGCTAGGTTTCTTCCAGAAAGATATTCAGCTCCTTTGTCAAAGATAAGGTGTCTGAGCATGTTTGGAATTGTTTCTGTACCTTTTAATCTATTTCATTGATCCTCAGGCCTGTTTTATTGCCAGTACCATCCTGTTTTTATCACAATAACTTTGCAGTATAATTTCAAGTCAGGGATTGTAGACTGGTGAAACCACTGGGGAAGTCATAGATTTCCCAAAAAACTAGAATTAAAGGTTCCATTTGACCCAGCTATTCCCATTCTTGATATCTTCCTGAAAGAACTGAAAATGTCTTACCACAGTGATATATACACACCCAGGTTTATAGCAGCACAGTGTTTAAAAGCCAAATCTTGGAAACAGTCAAAATGCCCATCAACTGTTGAATGAATAAAGAAGATGAGCTTTCTTTATATATTGGAGAACTACTCTGCCATAAAGAAGGATAAACGAGATATTTCTAGATAAATGAATGCACCTTGAGATCATACTCTTAAGTAAAATAAATTGGACTCACATGTATAATGTTGCATTATCCATTGAAAGTGTAAATGAGGGCCAAAATGTGTATATCAAAATGTGTAAATGATGTAAAATAGGAAGAAAATATTCAAATGAGAAGGGAACTAGGGAAGGAGGAGGGGAACAGGAAAGGGGTCGGAGGTTCAAAGAAAGGGAAAAGAGCCGGGCGTGGTGGCGCGCGCCTGTAGTCCCAGCTACTCGGGAGGCTGAGGTGGGAGGATCGCTTGAGTCCAGGAATTCTGGGCTGCAGTGCGCTATGCCGATCGGGTGTCCGCACTAAGTTCGGCATCAATATGGTGACCTCCCGGGAGCGGGGGACCACCAGGTTGCCTAAGGAGGGGTGAACCGGCCCAGGTCGGAAACGGAGCAGGTCAAAACTCCCGTGCTGATCAGTAGTGGGATCGCGCCTGTGAATAGCCACTGCACTCCAGCCTGGGCAATATAGTGAGACCCTGTCTCTTAAAAAAAAAAAAAAAAAAAAAAGAAAGGGAAAAGAAAAAGACGAGAAAAGGATAAAGTAGAAACAAAGCTTTTGTAAATAAATAGGAGAGGAGGAGTTGAAGGGAGGGTAGGTGAACGGGTAAAAAAAAGAATCAAGTTATACCATGTACAGGCACAAATTCCTTGTGATGAATGTGATCTTTATATATAACTAAAACGTACTGGTAAACTTAATTTAAAAACTCAATGGAAAGAATTAGGAGTCCAGGAATAAATCTATACATTTATAATCAATTGATTTCAAAAGTGTGCAGAGAAAAACAGTCCTTCAAGAAATAATATTAAGCAAACTGAAGAATAGAATTAGTTGAAACAATGATTGTTTTTGGACATGTCATTCAAAGCACAGGCAACAAAAGTAAAACTAGACAAATGATATTGCGTCAAACTAAAAATCTTCTGCACACTCAATAGAATTTCCTGAAAAAAATTAAAAATAAGATGACCACATGACTTAGCAGTTTCACTTCTCGGTATATATCCAAAGTAATGAAATCAATATGTCAAAGATACACCTGCACTTCCATGTTTATTACAGCATTATTTACAGTAGCCAAGATATAGAATCAATTCAAATGTCCCTTGTTACATGAATAGATGTACAAGTGTGGCATACAAAAGATGGAAATTTTGTCATTTTCAACAACATAGATGAATATTGAAGACATTATGCTAAGTAAAACATGGCCAGACACAAAAAGACAAATATTCCAAAATCTATGTATGTAGACTGTATGTATGAATACAGACTCTAACAAAGTTAAACTCATAGAAACAAAGAGTACAAACCATGGTTGCCAGGATGAGGTGTGGGAGACGGGCACTGGCCTGTATTATTCAGAAAGCAGAAAGTTTCCATTAGTATGAATCAGTTCTGCAGATCTACTGTACAGCATGGTGACAATAGTTAATAATATATTGTATACTTGAAACCTAGTAGTAGAGTAGGTCTTAAATGTTCTCAAGCACATATAATGTACACACACAATAAGTTTGTGAGATGATATACATAATTATCTTGACTTTATTATTTCATAATAAAGTATACATAAATAAATATTGTACATAATACATAAAATATTATATGTTAATAAAGCTAAGGGTGTGTATATATTTATCTATGAAAAATTAGACATCAAATATCTATATTGTATCAAGCAAAAATAGATACTAACTAAAACCATTGCAAAAGATAAAAAAGATCACTACACATGACGTTCAGTTCATTAGACATAATTATTCTACATTTATGTCACTAAAAATTAGTCTCATATACACAAAAATTTAAAAAGAGAGCTACAGGGAGATATTATCAAACTATTGCTATCAACTATTTAGCTCAAACAGGAAAAAAATAATAAAGATATAGAACTGAATGATATAAATATGTATCATAGAATAAGAAATTAGAACATACATTTTTCTTAAGCACATAGGAAGAAATAAAACTACTGAAGTAATAAAATCAGTAAAAATACTCTACAAAGAAACGTTAGGCACTAGGACACTGGGAAACCAAGCAAGCAGCTCCCCTCCATAGTAAGTGGCTACGGTGTGGCAGACCGCGACCCTTCCGGGGGAGAACCACCAGGGCTTCTGAAATCCACACTATGGGTGGAACTTAGGATGCTCGGAAACCAAGCAACCAGCCTGCCCCCCTGGTAAGCAATAGTGAACCTACTGGTGCACGGCCTAGAGTCAAACATCCCACTTCCCTACCCCCCTTTCCTCTGTCCCCGTTAGCAAATGGGAACCAGAAATCTGAGCATCTCTTGGGTGACTGACCGTAGCAAATAAGGCGGATTTCCTTCTACCATCTTTTTGAAGGCAAATATTTTTATTACTGTTTTGCTTTATTCTGATTAATGATACTGATCTATTCAATATTCTGTTTTGATAAGTTCTATAATGTTCTGTTTCATTTTATTTATATATATGATTAAAAGAACAACTCTTGTAAAGATAACGAAATATACTGTGATACCTGTTACTGTTATCCCTGTAAACCTGCTGTAAAGTTCTGTACCAATTTCACTACACGATCTCAGTTGGCTTTATTCTGTCTTGTTCTATTGTATTTTACTACTTTCAAAATTAAAAAAAAACTAAAAAAAAGAAACATTAGGCACAAATAATTATTCTATACAAAAGCTAGCAAACTTGGAAGAAGCAAATTATTATGGCCTAATATAAAAATTTCTGGAGCAGTGAGAAGTAAGGAAAAACTGCCTTACTTAATCAATTGTATGAGACCAATATACTGCAATGCCAAAACCAGCTTAGGGCAGAAAGGAAAAATTATACAGCAATCATACTCATGAACCCCAATACCAAAATCCCAGCCAAAATACTAAGGCATTCATTACACCCAACCAAAATTTACTTTACAAAACCTGTAAGTGTAAATGACCAAAAGTTCCTTAAAACTAGAAATGATTATCATCATTTCAACATGGATAATTGAATAAAATTCAAGAGTTCATGATAATAAAAATAAAAACTATTAACAAAAAAAAGAGATAAAAAAGAGAAAATGGATACATCTTGAGACCATAATGTTAAGTGAAGTAATTTAGACACACAAGCTTAAATATTGCATGGTTTCTCTTATACAAAAACATATCTTTACGTGTATAATGAAAAAGACAATATGAAAACACAGAAAGAAAAACAAAAGTATTGTAATCTAGGGCCCACAATAAAGCTGAAAGCATATCTTGACTTAGTACTATTGTCTATATTTTTATATGTCATTTGACCTCTTGGTCTGGTTTTTAATCTGTATATATGATAATTAACTTTATAAGAAAGTTATAAAAGAAATAAATGCTAGAAAAGTAAACCTGGGGTGAGGGAAAGGCAGAAATGAAGGGTAACTGCAAACATGTACTAATAGAAGTTAAAAAAGAAGAAGAAGAAGAAAAGAAATAAAATAAAAAGTGGATGTTCATAAAAAAGATAAACTTACAGCAACACTCTTAGTGGCAAAAAGTAAGGACAAAGACAAAAATTTCTATTAATAAACGTGTTAATCGTTCTTGCAAATATAGTATAATTTTTAAAATGAAAATTATGGAAGAAAATATTGATAAATTCAAACTATGTTAAAATGTAGAATTACTGTTCCCCAGAAGCAAAGTATATAAGTCAGTATAAAGAAAAAAAAATGCAGTAAGCTGAGAGAAATGTACTGCCACACATATAACCTTCAAAAAGAAGAATATCTACAAGGAAGTCTTTTTATATGTTAGTTAATACCAAAAGAAGATCAAACAATATAGATAGGGACTTTTCACAGTGCAAGGAAACATCAATAGGAAATGATGCTCTGTATCATTAGTGATGAGGAAACTTGAAGTCAAACTTAATATGCCTTTGAGGTAAGGGAATCTCTGCAAGTTTGAGACCAGCCTGGGCTACAAAGTGAGCTCAAGGCCAACCTGAGCCTCATAGTGAGACCCTGTCTCAAAAAGACAAAAACAACAACAAAAAAGCAAAACAAACAAAAAAACCCAAAAACAAAAAACAAAACCCTGACAGATTGTCAAAAATAAAGATGTCTAATCATACAAATAATTGACAAAAAGATACAAAGATTCCTATATATTGTCACTAGAAATATAAACTGTTTTAATCTCTTTGGAATAACTATTTGTCATTCTTGTCAAAATTGAAAAAGCACATAGACTATGAAACAGTATTTTCATTCTTAGGGATGTGACTTGTAGAAACTCTTGCACATTATGAAAGACATCCTAAGATGTCCATGTTCCAATTCCGAGGATCTATAAATATTCTCCCTTCCATAACTGAATGGATCTTGCAGATATGACTAAAAGTGATGGATTTTGAGATGGAAAAATATTCCTGGATTTTCTGGATGAGCCCTGAATAACCAAATGGGTCCTTAAAATCTGAGAACATTTTCTCATAGCAGTGGTCAGAGAGATGCCAGTGCGGGAAGAATCTGATGCAGGGTTGCTCTTTCTAAAACAAAGGAGGTTGGGGAGTAGGGTGGAAAGGGTAAAGGAATGCAAAATATAATTAAGATGTGTTATGCACATGTACCAATCCCCCCGAAAACCGTAGTTATTATATGTGCTGCAAATATGTACTACTAATAAAAATAAAAAATAAAATGAAGGGGCTATATGCAAAAAGAATGATTTCTAGGTGATGGAGAAAGCAATGATACGTATGGATTCCTATTCCCTCTTTGCATCTGCAAAAGGAGTATAGAACTGATCACATTTTTAGCCTACTAAATTTCATGTTGGAGGCTGACTTACAGAACTGTAGGAAAATGAAGTTTCACTGTTTAAGCCACTAAATTTGTGATACTTCGTTAAAACAGTAATAGAACATTAATCTTAACCTGGATACTAGGAGTCATGCACAATAAAACTTTATATAACAGTGAGTGTCATAATGAAAACTGGAAAAATTCCAATTGTCTATTTGCAGAAACATCTATTAAAAATTGTGATATAACACACAAAGAAATATAGTATACAATTATAAAATGAAGTATTGTCATAAACAAGATGAATGAATCAGAAAATGTTGAATAAAAATAGTAAGTCACAGATGACAGTACACAGCATGATACCATTTAAAGCACAAAATTAAGAAAAGTTACCTGATACATCTTTGATGATCACTTACGTACATTATACAACTACTTACTATTTTTTAAAAGTAAAGTGATGAGCTGTTCAGTTAACTATTGGAGCAGGAAAACTGAGAAAAGCATAGCACACACGTAGATAAAATGTGAAGGTGTGGATATTGCTACAATTTTTTTTATTTTTTAAATTAATATACTTTGCAGTACATGGTTACTATGTTCTTTGTGAAGACTCAGTGCATATACATTACACATTTTAATTCTTTTTTCATTTCTTTTCCTTCCTCTCCTCACACCTCCTTCCTTCTATGGATCTCTTTCTCATTTGGGAAACGAGACTTACCTATTTCCTATTAGCTTCCTTTACTTTGCACTTCATTTATATTTTAATTTCTTATGTAATAGAAACCATGTAATATTTAAGCTTGTGTGTCTGACTTATTCCATTTAACACTGCAGTCTCAAGCTGCATCTGTTTTCCTACAAATGACTCATTTATCTTTCTTTATGACAAAGTAATATTTCCTTGTATATGAATGCAAGTTTCTTTATACATTTATCTGTTGATGGGCAATAGGCTGCTTCCATGATTCGTCTAATTTTTAAATTGATTCATGAATTAATGTCCACCTTCAAGACTTAAATATATATTAGTTTATTTCTAGATATTACTTTATAAGTTTTAATATACATATATCTACATAAGGAAAAGCAAAGACTATCAAATTCCCTTCATGACCCACTACATTTAGTGACATTATCCACTCATCCTTCAACTCCAGAGTAGGGAAGGGAAGGCACATTCTAGAGCAATTTTACCACAAAGATTCCATAGCCAGGGACAGAAAAAGATAGGAGAACTTTTTCTAGAAAGGGAAAAATTATTTTCCAAAGTGGTTGCATAGTTGGACATATAAGATTAATAAAAAGGATTCATTCTCGCTATCTTAAAATCCACCAGGAAGCCAGATAATTTAAATTGTGGAGGTCATCTCCTTCCACAAGTGGTGCCCCTGTGTAGGTCTCAAACTGCCCCCCCTGTGTGTGTGTGTGTGTGTGTGTGTGTGTGTGTGTGTGTGTGTGTTAATATTAGATCTTTGCTTTTGCTTTCTACCTGACATCAGGGGGTCTCAGCACACCATTTCCCCTGTGCTCTCTTTGAGATGAGAAGCAAATGGGCTTACTGAGAAGAGTCTGGGCACACTGTAGGAGCTGGATATGCACCTCCAGTTCTCATTTCCTTCAGCAGAAACTCTAGACGACGGTGTAACACTGTACTGACTCTGAGGAAGGGGTAACACAGTCAAAGTGAGACGGCTTCTCTTACTTTTTCCATATAATTGCTACTCTGTTCTATGGGCCACATAGTTGACTCAGGCTTATTACTAATGTTAGATGTTTTTACAAAAAGTGTTCTTATCTGTGATTAGTTGCTAGTTGAATTATCCATAAAGAATAATGAAGTCTGGGGATCTCCATTTCTGTCTTATCACTGGAATCGCTCTGCATTGTATTTCTTTGAGATGTGTTCCTGTTTGTCTTACTCTGTTCTCTATGAGACAGTTTTCCTCCAGTTCACAAGCCTGTCTTACAGGATTTGCTAAAGGAATTTATTTAAACAAAAGCAAAATGCCGCTAATTAATAACATGAATACAACAAAAGCACAAAACTCAATGGTACAAGTAATAAATATTCATAAAAAATTTAGGAATTTAGTAGTGGTATGTAAAGCAATTTTGTCTTTAAAAAGGATAAAAGAAATGTTAATAGCAACTGTTGCTGCAAAAATTGTCAAGGAATGCAAATTACAAAATGATATAAATTCTGGTATCAAAATCATGGGATGAGCAAATGAGGGAAGAAAAGCAAAACAATAATATATTCAAAGTTGTTATCAACTTGAAATAAAATGTTTTAAAATGTCCTTTGTAAGTTTAATGTGACAGTCAAGCTGGATGGTCAACTTGATTGACAGATATTTAGGAGATTAGAAATGCACATTTTGAAGCATATATAGGTGCGTCATGGAGGAATGACCTTGAGTAGCCTGGTATTTGGACCCTTCCACTTTCATGCTATTCTTGTGATCTGAATACCAACCTCTATGAGGTCAACAGCTTTTCCTACCTAGACCTTCCATCATGATGTTTCTGCTTTATAGCAAGACATATATGGTCTGAACCCTCTGAAATATTGAATCAAATAAATCTCTCCTCTTTAAGTTGTAGATGTCAGGTATTTTTACCAACAATGGGAAAACTGACTAATATAAGAAAAGTTCAATGATCATAACTATGTGGTTCAGAAGCCATGAGGAGGAATTTGGCAAGGTTTGGAGATGTAGGTTAGAAAGGTCTTTGAATGCTGTATACAAAGCCTAATGGCTAGTTTTGCCTAGAGCTTAGAAGACCAGAATGCTGATTAAAATAAAGCAGAAAGATTTCAAAAACTTATGTTTGAGCCCCAAAAGAACCATGTGTGAAACTGGGGCCAAAGGAGGTATAGTTCTAAAAAGAGTAGAAACATCAAACAGAAATCAGTTATTAAGAAAGGAGAGAAGATTCTCAGAAATACAGCAAGACACTACCCACTGCAGGCTTAAGGTTGTAAGATACAAATATTTCCTTTAAAAAGAAAGATGCTTCTATAGCAAGGATATCTAAGGAAGTGATTCCCAGTATTTACTTCCAGGCAGCCAAAGGCCATTGAAGCCAGGGTTTAAGAGGGCTGGCTAATGGTTGCTCTGGCATCAGACCTTGGTGTTATCTATGTGATGCTGGTTGTTCAGGTATGATGAATATAAGAGTCATGGGATCATGGAGGCTTTTACTACAGATTTAAAAGGAAGGCCTGGGAGTTCAAGCTATGTACTGCTGTGATATTGGTGCATGTATCTGTAGGAATGAAGCTGAAAGTGTAGCGGAGACTCCAGGAAGTCAAGTATACCAGGAACATAGAATGTCTGCCAAGGAAAGTCACAGGAAATGAACACAGCCAGACAGAGATGGTGGTCATGTGTGTTATAACCAGCAAAGCTATAGGAGTGGGTCACTCAAATCTTCCAGGACTCCCATTTTATCATGATGTTACCACTGCTTTATACCATTGTACATTGGGATCGTGTAACCTGCCTTTCAATTGTTACAGGGGTTCACAGCTAAAAGTTTGTCTTTAGTCTTAGAGAAGACTTTGACCTGGACTTTTGAGCAATGCTATAACTGTTCAAACTTCATAAATCAATTGTGTTTTTTGGTTAGACACAAGATAGTTTTATCATGTTAGGTAGGAGTATGATTTTTTGTCTTTATTTGGGGATAAGTATGGTTTAAGAAGATGTATTTGCATATCAGGGAGTAGATAGAATGTAACAGTTAAGCTGCTATTAGCTTAATTGGCCTGAGAGCAAACTAAGAAATTATTAAAGCATGCCTCTGGGTGTGTCTATGTGGGTCATTGGAGGTGTAACTGTAAGTACTCTATCTAGTCCTTGGATACTTCTCTTCTGCTATTCCCCTGATCTGTTTCCTAGCCACTATGAGGTAAGCAGCATTCCTCTGATAGTAACTTCTGCCATGATATTTCTGCTTTGCGGTCAGCTTACCATGGACTGAATCCTCTGAAATCATGAGCCAAATAAATCATTTCCTAAGTAATGGGAGTCAGGTATTTTGTGTCAGAAAACTACCTAATGCACCCCATTATAACTACAAGGCAAAAACCTATGGTAGTCTGAATAAATAAAAATAGAATTCAAAGCATGCCACCACAACTACAAAGGAAGGCAGCAAGATAAGGAAGACAGAAAAAAAGAATCTGCAGAACCAATAGAAAACAATGGACAAAATGACAGTGGTTAAGTCCTTTCTACTCAATAATTAGTTTGAATGTAAATGAATTAAATCCTCCAATCTAAAGTCATAGTGACTGAATGGATAAAAAAAAAAAAATAAAGGACCTACCTCTATGGTACTATGGTATTTATAAAAAAACTCACTTCATAATTAAAATGAAAGTAATGATATCAAAAAATATCCCATGTAAATGGAAACCAAGAGAGAACAGACTTAGCTATACAAATATCAAAGTAAATATAACTCAAGTGAAAAGATAAAAAAAATGACATTATATAATGATAAAGGGTCAATAAATCAAGAACATATACTAATTATAAACATATATGCACCCAATATCAGCATATCTAAGTATATGAAGTAACTGTTAAAGGATTTGAATGGAAAGATAAATTGTAATACTGTAATAGTAGGGGGATTCATTATCCTAATTTCAATGATAGATCATTCAGATGAGATACTAATGAAGAAAAGTTTGACATGAATAACACTTAATATGAAATAAGCCCAACAAACATTTACAAAACATTTTATCCAACAGTGACAAAATACACGTGCTGGCCAAGAGTATAACTCAGTGGCACAGCACCTGTCTGGCAAGCATGAGGTCAGGGATTCTATTTTCAGTGCAAAAAAGAAAAAAGAAAAAAAAAAAAAAAAGAAAAAAGGCCTTCTTAAGCACACACAGATCATGCACAGGCTAAAAGACAAATCCTAGCAAATTTAAGAAGATTTAAATCATATAAAGTATTTCCAACTGCAATGGTATGGACCTAGAAATCAGTAAGGAGAAATCTGGGAAAATGTGTAAGTATTAGAAAATTGAACACAGGCCTAAACAACCAATCGGTGAAAGATGAAGTTAAAGAGAAATTTGAAATTGGACAACAACTTGAAACAACTGAAAATTAAAACACACTAAAAATTTATAGAAGGTAGCTAAATCAGTTCTAAGAGAAAAGCTAATGACCATAAACACATCAAAAAGAAAAAAACATTTATTATATTTTGATACTGGAAAAAAAAGAAAAACTAAGCGCAATGTTAGCAGAAGAAAAAAAATATCAGAGTAAAATAAACAAAATAGAAAAAAATAACATGCTGTAAAAATAAAAAAAAATTGAGTTTTTTGGAAAACAAACAAAATGTACAAAATAATTACACTAAAAAGTGTACTCAATTAAAACCAGAAATGTAAAAAGAGACATTACAACTCATACAACAGAAAGACAAGAATTATGAGACAATTACATTCTAAAAGCTTATATTAAGTAGGAGAAACAAATTCCTATACATATACAAACTACAAGACAGAATCATGAAGAAATAAGAAAAATTGAACATACTAGTAAAGAATAAATTCAGCAACAACAAAAAATGTCCTTCCATCAAAGAAAAATGCAGGTCCTGGTGACTTTTACCAAACATTTTTTTTTTTTTTTTGTCTTTTTCCTTTTTATCGGTACCAGGGATTCTCGACTGCCTGCTTGCAAGGCAGGTGCTTATGCCACTGAGCTAAATCCCCAGCCCCTTTTACCAAACATTTAAAGAATGAATGCTAACCTTTCACAAACTCTGCCCAAAAACTGAAGCTGAGGAAGAACTTCTAACCTCTTTTCTCTTGTACCATGATGCCAAAGTCAAATGAAGTTATCGCAAAAAAGAATAATACAGGTCAATTTATTTTCAAAAACATAGATGGGAAAATCTTCAACAAAATGCTATTCAATCAAATTTAGTTATATACTGAATGGAGTATTCACTATGTGTAAGTAAATATTTATCCTGAAATACTAATCATTTCTCAGCCTTTTAGCTAAGATCAAGTGTAGAACACAAACATTTTTATATATGCAAAAAGGATGAGTTAACATCACCTTCACAGAATGAAGGACTACATATATCATCCAATTAGGTGTAAAAATTGCATTTGACAATAGTTAATAACTATGTATAATAAAAATGTTCAAGAAATTAGGTATAGATGGAATATATCTCAACAGAATAAATGTTATATGTGATAAACCCACAGTTAACACTATACTCAACAGTGAAAAGCTGAAATCCTATTCTAAAACAGGGATACTCACTCTCAACATTTCTTTTCACACGTAGAATTACAAATATTTGACAAAGTAATTAGACAAGAGAAAGAAATAAAAGGTTTCATACATATGACATATATATATCATATATATATATGGAAAAGGATAACGTGTCCTGCAAACAAATGGTCATGGGAAAGCAATATATTCATATGCAGCAGAAAGAAATTGGACTCTAATATGATGCCATTTACAAAAAATAACTCAGTAAATTAAAGGCTCAAACAGAGAACTGAGTTGTAAAACCTTTGGAACAAAACAGGAGAAAAACTATACTATACTGGCCCAGAAAATGATTTTTAAAAATATGACACCAAAAGCACAGGCAACAAAAGCAAAATAATAGGCAAATGGGATTACATCAAGATAAAAAGATTATGTATAAAGGGAATAATTAACAGAGTGAAGAACAAAAGAAAATTTGCATGTCTAATAAATGATTAATCCTGATAAGAGGCTAATATCCCAAATATATAAGGAACTCAAACAATGGTATGAAATGAAACAATACAATTTAAAAATTGGAGGCAGCTCAGCCAGGGTGACCAGCCAGATCTGCTTCTGCTAACTGGCTTACTTCATATGTGCAGCCAGCATGGGCAGGGACATGCAGTCAGGTAAGCCCCATGCACCTGCAGGCTACCATTGGAGACCCTTGCTTCTTTTGGGCAGTGAGCACCCACTGGGAAAATCAGAAAAACACACTACTGCGTGCCTGCCACCATTGTGGGAGTCCTGCTATAAATACGCAGGCTGAGAGAAGCAGCCCCACCATCACACATCCCTGGTCTTCAGGGAAGCCCCAGTGTAGCTGCACATGTCTGGAGAAGTCTGCCTCATACCCTGCTACCTGCCTGTGAACCTGGGTTCAGAGAGACCCAGGTGCCTGTCCCATTCCCATGCCCCTAAAGAGGGGCAATCTGAGACTTCCAACCAGCACCGAACAAGTCTGGGGATATAGTCATAGAAGAAAATGGAAGTCACATACCTGAAAGTCACATACTTCAGAGGAGAACATAGCAACTAAAGAAACAACTTCATGAAACTGTAAAATAATGTCTCATGTAAAAGAAGAAATCACAAACATGAAAAAATTGCTGAGCGTATCTAAAGAATACACAGTTTTTTAAAAAAAGAGGAGCATAGGAAAATGATGGAAACCTTAAATGAACAATAGAGGAAGGAATTACAATGCGTAAAAAGATTCAAGAGACATTCAGAAAATTAAAAAGTCAATGGAAAGCTGGCAAAACTGCTTGAAAGATAGACTTTCAGATCTTGAAGACAGAATTGTAGCTAGTGATCACAAAAAGAAAGATCTCCTAAAAATAACAAGGAACCAGGAAATAACAATTCAACTATTGAAAGACGATGCAAAGAGAAATGATTTCAGAGTGGTAGGTAACAGTGAAGAAACAGGGATCCACAAAAATGAAAAAAAAAAAAAGGATATTTACAGTAGTAATAGAAGAAGACTTTCCAAACATGGAAAAAGGATCTGGCATGCACATAAGCAAAGCATATAGAACTCCAACTAGCCAAAACCAAAGAAAATCTACACCCACACATACAATAATTAAGATCCCAGGAATTCAGCACAAAAACAAAATACTAAAAGCTGTTAGAGGAAAGAAATGGATCACCTATAAAGGAAAACCAATCAGAATCACAGAAGAATTGTCAACATAAACCATCAAGTCAAGAAGAATTTGAAGTAAAGTGTTTCAAATCCTGAAAGAGAACAACTTCCAACCCAGATTGATGTACCATGAAAAACTATCTTTCCAAACTGATGGAAAAATAAGGTATTTCCTTGACAAAGAACAACTGAAGGAATTCATGACCACCAAACCAACCCTACAGAGTGCTGAAGGATATTTTAGAGAGAGATAAAGATGACCATGGTTCCAGGAACAGCAGCAGAATTAGATCACCAAACAGGACAGGCAACCGAATGAAAAGGAAAAGTGGAGGGCCAACAGCAGGAGGATGGCAGGACAGAGACAGACCAGTGTATTCTGGCTGTTACCATTAATGTATCTGGACTCAATTCAGCAATAAAAAGAACACAGGGAGAATGGATAAAGAAACAAGATCCATCAATGTACTGCATACAAGAAACACATTTAACTTGAAAGGAAATTTATAGAGTAAAATTGAAAGGAGAGAAAACAATTGTTCTTCATGACAGGAGACCAGAAAAAAGCAAAGGTAACTTGTCTATCAATTACAGAATGGATAAGAAAGGTAATGGTATTTTCATACAATGGAAAGCTACCCAGCTATAAAGTAGGGTAATCTCAAGGCTCTTGTAGGTACATGGGTGCAACTGGCAATCATGTTCATGGGAGAAACAGCTTGAACTCATGTGGGCCAACCCTAGCATAAAAAACAGAAGGAATTAGTGGGATTCAAAAAGCATAATAGATATTATGAAAGTGATAGAGGAGGAAATAGCTAGCAGGGGAAGATGATAACCACTGTTAATTTCTTATTGTCTCATCTTGAACTCTTGTATCATTTGCACAATTTTTTGGTTTGTTCTGTCTTATTTTGTTAGATTTTACTATGTCTGATGGTATGGGCAGCTATTTTGAAGATAACAGGATGTATTATGGTAACCATTGTTGGTTTCTTATTATCTTGTTTTGAAGTCCTGTAATACTTTCATTCTTTTGTTTTGATCAGTTTTAGTCTGTTTTCTATTATTTGATTTCAGTATGTGTGAAGGTATGGACAGCTATTTTGAAGAAAACAAGAAATATTATGGTAGCCATTGTTGATCTTGTATTGATTTGTTTTGAATCCCCATAATGCTTTCATTCTTTTGTTTGATTCATTGTATACTATTTTGCTCTGGTTGATTTTATTGTGTGAAGGTATGGACAACTACTTCAAAGAAAACAAGAGATCTTACAGTAGCCACTGTTGATTTCCTGTTGTCCTGTTTTGAAGTCCTGTGTTGCTTGCATTGTTCTGTTCTAATTTGCTTTGTTCTGCTCTGGTTTTTTTATTCTCTTTAAAATAAAAATGGGCAGAATTTGAAGACATTTCTCAAAAGAAGACATACAAATAGCCAACAGATCTATGACAAAATGCTCTCAACATCACTAATCAGTAGGGAAATGAAAATTAAAACCACAATGAGTTGTCATCTCACATCTGGCAAAGGCTGCAAAGGGCAGGTTGTTATTGACCTGCTTTTGAAGGCTGTTCGTAAGCTTGGGTATGGTGGGTTTTTACCACAGCCTACAGGGGATGTGGCTAGATGACCATTACTGGCTGTCCTGCAGTACCTGGAGGAAGAGAGAGAGCCTTGAGACAAGAAGCCTGTTTGGCAAATGTTGCAGAATAGAGATCAACTGAGGATGGTCTGCCCTCGGGCAGAGAGAAAATGACTGCTGAAGGCTCTAAGGTCCTCCTCTTCCTCTTTCTCTCTTTGTCTCTCTCTCTCTCTCTCTCTCTCTCTCTCACATACACATAAATATAAATATAAAAGTAAATGCGAATGAGATAGCATTTTATAGTGTGATTTTAGAAAACTTTTCAAAATAACCAAAAGTCAATTTAAGATACCTAAAGACCCCAAGTGTCTTCCTAGACCACTTTGTTCTTTCTTCCACATGAAAAACTATGTATTTTTCAAAACTCTACTTCTCTTTTATCTCTATATGAAATCTTTGACTGCCACTCGTCCTGCTATATTCCTTTTTAGGAGGATCATTTATTCTCTTTCCACGTCTCAGTCCACCTCATTTACATTTTTGTATAATCCTAGGCAACATGCCAACATTGTGTGTGGTTAGCTACGTATTTGCTTATCCAACTAACTGTGAGCACTGAGTCTGAGTTTTGGGTTTCCTGTGTCTAGCAGTGCCTGGGACACTGGTAATTTAATGGAGGTGTGCTGAACAGATGAGTCCCAACCATACAACGAGCCTAAGCAGAAAATAGTGTAGAGACCACAGGTGGCTTTATTCGTAGGGCTTTTGGCTTTTGCTTTTCTTTTTTTGATATGATTAGTCATGTAAGGGGGTGATAGTGCTTAGTAGAGAAAAGGCTTGGCATCTGTAAAATCTGGAATGTTCTACAACCTATATTAAAACTTTGGGACAGTACTGAGGAAAAGAAACAGGTGAAGATTTGAAAAAATCTCCATTTCGTCGGGAAGTCTCTGTGTCTTTTACCTTAATGTATTACAAAACCGGGAAAGATATTCAGGAACCCCAATGGCCATGTGTGGGGAAAGGCCCTCCCATGAAACTGATGTTAAAAAAAGAAAGAAAGAAAGAAAATCTCTTTTAGTCAGGCACAAGATTTTGGCTGAAGTTCAACCGCATACCTATTCTAAGCTGAATTTGGGTATAGCCCTAATAATTACAGTTACTCTTTAGAGAAAGAGCCCAAGAGGTTTACCTGAAGATTTTTTCCAGATGTAAGCAGGTATGTGAGAAGCACAGTAACGAAGATGTAAACCGGATGAGGCCATTTTGTGCCCCATAGTCTTCTCTCCAGTCGCTGGAATGCTGGGAGATGTTCTCCAGCAATCAGGAAGATGATGCAACACAGTCATCTAACAAACACCAGATGCAGACTAGCCTCACAAGCTGTAGTGTTAAAGGGAAGGGGGGCAACCCCCAAGTATGAATGCCTTTGCAGTTATCAATCTGTCATGAGTTGTAATCAAACAGAAATGAACCTCTTTATTCCACCAGTTCCGGGATAGGTCCATCATATGCCCCACAGACATGCTCTAGGTTTGGGCTGAGCCCCCATGAATCTGTCCCCTTCCTTCACTTTCCCACTGCAGAATCTCACTGACTTAGGGGCATCAGTAAGGACATGCTAATCCCCAGCCCCACCACACAGGTTCTGTCTTTCTAGGCAAGAAAAGATTAACTGGATCAACTTTGCCAGAAACTGGATGTTTGGGTCAAATGCATGTTTAGTATTACTTATATGCATCCTTTTCCCACCATAAAGCCAGAATATGGTTTATCTTTTCACCTTGGCAATAAGAATTTTTAAAAAGTATTTAAGTTCCCAAGGAAAAGAATGAAACTCTGTCACCAAAGTATAAAAACTGCAGGGCACACAAAACTTACTTAGCTCTCTCTAAAATAAAATCATCACACTGCAAAATATATTTTGGAGGGACAAATTGCAATTAACTTGAAATAATTAAATTATAAAACCTTTTATCTCTGGGTTAAAGTCCACTCATAACTGAATACTACAAGTAGCTAGCACTCTGCATAAAGATAGTTTAGTGTGGAGTTGGGAGCACAGCCTCTGAGATCACGTGAAGTTGGATTTCAATTTGAGCCTCACTATGCCTTATTAGTGATGTACATCATAAATGATTTGAGGATAGTACCATCATCTTTAAAACAGACATAAGACCACCTACCTCACATTGGAAAGAATAGTGCAAGTAACAGACTTGAAGAGATTATTTAATATATATCATTAAAGTGAGAAGTCCATAGTGGAATTGAAAATCTTGTGAACAGAGATTTGTGGCCAGGCAAATCCTCTTTTCTGGGCTGCCCAATATTTAAAACCTCTCTTCTTTGCATTTGGCTATTTACACTTCTGTACTTCTACCATAAGCAGTTAATGATTGCTAATTAGCTTTTCCTTCTGCTTGTTCCAGAAGATCTGTCAAGTCCAAACCAGCCTGGATGCTAACAAGGGTTCAGTTGTGTTTGTTACGAGTAGTAGGGCAAAAAATTGAATGCAGGGGATTTGAATACCTTAAGATAGGAATAAGCCTCTCTGGTCTCCATAACCTTAGAAGTTAACATGGTCTGTAATCAAACTAAAAACTGGGGAAAATCTCGTGAGCTAAATTGGCTCCCAAATCCCAGGTCTCTCTGGCCTTCCATGAGATTTCATGAATGCTCCGTGCTCATGTGTTAGCCACGCAGGTGTGAGTGGAGGGTGATGCTTTGAACAGCCTAGTTTGGAGCTCAGTACTCACTTTGCACGCATACTAAATTGGAACAATACAGAGAAGATTAGCATGGCTCTTGTGATATAGAGCCTACAGTTAGCTCCAGGCCAATACTTTTCAACATTGGCCTAGGACAAGACTAGTTTCTGAGAGCAACTGGACAGGAAGAGCTCTTGCCAGAATCTTCTTCAATAGCATGGGGAATTTTTTGAGGCTCCACATCAAAATGGTAGAATTTTCATTAGATACCTGGAGCTTAAAGAACACTGACTAGATGTTAGAGCTGGGTATTTGTGAGCTTATCCCACAAACTGTTTTTAAATTCAACTTTGTTTTTTTTTTGTATGCTAGAATCTTCTACCTGTCATCTTGTTGTTAAGATATGGACAGTAATAGTACTTTTCTGAAAAACAAACAAACAAAAAAAGCTGAGATTCTAGCATGTGGCACCTTTGCAGAAATCTCTTGCATGGTAAAAAATACCAAGACTATTGGCTGAGGTGTGGCTCAGTGGTAGAACACTTGAAACCCTGGGTTTGCTCCTCCGCATTGTAAAAACAAATAACATAAATAAACCACAATGATGCTGATGAAAGGTAGAGGAACAAGGAAAAGATGGGGAAGATTGTATATAAATTTATAAACTGAGATCTGTTCTAGGATTTACTGGCCAGAGCCCTACCATGCACCTCTTGAGGTTCTAGAAAGGCCCAGTTAGGGTCCACTGGCAGAGCTTCTGTTCAGCCCAGAACACAAATAGAAATTAACATGACGTTATTTAGTGAGATCAAGTGAATCTTCCAGAACAAGGTAAATGGACAAGGAAAAATAGAAACAGGTGAAAGACATGAAGCTTTGTGAAATCTTTCTGATCCGTCTCTACAGAAGAACTCACAATGATAAAACAGACCATTTTTGAAAGTCAGATAATAATGCTAACTAAAGTCTTTTTACTGGGAGTTTGGAGATGGTAGTGAACCAACTGAACCAACACAAGAATCACACAACTAGCTTTTTAAAACATACACTATTAAGGCAGCAGCCCCAAATTTTTAAGGCCAGGATGAGGCCTATTTTTATCTGTATTTCTAGCAAGTCTCTAGCTGGTGCTGAAGCTGCAGCCTGAGGACTGGGGTCTCAGGAATATGACTTAAAAAGAAACGGTTGAAAACCAAAATGTCTCACCACCCTACTTCTTCCCCAAATTAACAAATCAACAACAACAACAACAAAAAAAAAACAAATAAAACACCAAACAGTCCAACATTAATATATCAAAACCCATCTGCAGAGATGACTTTTAAGATGAATATTAACCTGAGAGCAGAGGGAAACTCTGCACAGGAAACTCTTAAGTTTCCTGTCAGACTTTTTAACAAAAGCTAAGCACCAGCATGGTATCGTTCTTACGTTTTTACCCACAGAGTGATCATGATAAAACTCCCCAAGGACCAAATTTTAAGCACAATAACATACACAAGCTGTTGAAGATTTTGCTGAGGTGAGGTGAAGTTGAGTGATTCTACAAATGTTTCCATTTCCCCCACCCCTGTAGGCCCCTAGAGCCTTTTCCTATGGCCTGGGTCATAGAGAGTAAAACTTAACCTTATTGTCAGAGCCCCAACTTCCAAAGGCTACCTGAGAGAAAAGGTTTGTCTCTATACAAACACACCCAGCAGCTTGGTAAAGAGATAAACAGAGCATTCTGATAATCCATGCAACTGTGTCAGAAAAAATAGGAGTCCTTAGGAATCAAAGAGAAAGAAAATTTATAAAGAAATTTTATTATATAATTTTTGTATTCAACAAACATAAGAAAAGAATTCTTAATGAAATTTTCCTGTCACTTTTCAAAAGTATTCAACTCTGGAGAAAAATTATTACAAAGCTGTCTAAGTCAAGAATAACATTTGACTTTGAATTAAGTGATAATCATTTTCATCATTTTTCATATTGAAAGCAAGACATTTTAAACACAATTAACATGGAGAGGCTTTTAAACCGCTATATTGTTTTCATTAAGAATTTAAATGTATCTAAGAAGTGAAAAGTATAAATAGATAGAAACGCTCTTTACTATGATAGATACTGCTGCATTCTTCAGATCCATTCTGTGTGGCTATACGGATGCATTTTTGTATAACAGTAAAATTCCATGTCTTCCAATGGTACAGTAATGCTGGAATGCAGAGGGAAAGTCCCATGCATTTCCCATGTTAAATGGCATAACTCCCACAGATCACATACACCTCACCATATTGAATCAGTTCATTGCACTCCATATCCTGCAAAAATAAATCTAGTGCTCGACAGCTGACATTATTGCTCACTGATGTTTTAGTAATATATTTCTTTAACATAAGACAGAAATATACTGAAATTTGATACCACTTAAACCCAAATGTAATCTAGAATTCAACCACATGCATATACCCTACTTCATTTGATGAATGTTGCATTTTTCTTAAAGTTGGCGCTGGAAAAAATTGGCTTGCCTTGAAAACTCAACTGAAGTTTAGAAAGGGAGGGAGATTTTCACTTTTTTAAAAGAAATTTTTAGGGAATTTCTAAATCCTACTATAACAATGCAGGAACAATGACGATACAGAACCTCTGGGAAGTGAGAAGCCGCCCTTCATTTGTCCCTCTCATCTACCTCAACACTGTGGCTTATATCCAATGCGTAAGGGAAGCTACCATGCGCAGTCGGAGTGGCTGAGAAGTGCTGTATACAGCTCTGTGAAGTTGGCACCGACTTTTAGGACAGTCTGGATGCTGATGGCCAGTCTGGTCTTAAATCTGACACCTTATTTCTAAAGGGAATGAAGCCTGTGAATTCCAAGGTGACCCTAGGATCTGGGTGAACCATCTGCAGCTGAGGGAGCATCCAAGTAAGAAGGGATTCCTCTGGGATTTCAAAGCTGCAGCACAGATAACAGTGCAGAGTTATTAGATGTCAGAGTGTCCTCGAGGTGTCTGAAGAGGGATGAATCAGGTCGGCTGGCCACTCTCCCATTTTGCTTTGTCACACCTTTCACTCTCATTTCCCATTGTGACTTTGTAGTTACCAAATGTTCTTCTTTCTTAATTTTTCCTTGGTGTTTTACAAGTAAAGATTTCAGTCTTCATAAACTATCAAGGATTTAGAAAAATAGAATTTAAAAAAAATTTAATTTCAAGATTAGCATTCAAAATTACAAATACAATATGGATCAGCCACAAACCATGCCTTCACATCTGGCTACAACCGTATCAGTTTGTATCACATCACCATTGTTCATACCTATAAAAGCCTATATTGACACCCATTCTACCAGACTAAAAGTTATAAAGCAGCTGAACAAAGCTTCTCAAAGTAAAACCAGCAATACTGCTGCAAAGAAAAAGTGCTGGCTCTTGGCCCAACTGTTTCCATACCAATCAGCTAAGTCAACCTGTTTCTTTCCACTTCAAATGCCTAAGCCTTGGCCTTTGCAGCAATTAAAACCAGATCAGTTTAAGTTTATAACACTGATCTTAATTGTGTAGCGATATATTAAGTTTGCCCTGAGAGTGTCAATACATTTTGCAAATATTGTAAGTCCCAGTTTAACATGAAAAAATAGGCACAAAGAGGCTACATCCCTTGTCCTTTGTCACACATTAGTGTTAAGTGTAGAAGACAGGCAGGGTTATTTTTGTATTAATACTCAACGCCTTTCCAGAGGTCACCTAAAACTCCATTAAGATCTCTGCTTTGGGCTCTGTTACTTGCAGTGTCCTGTCAGCTTTTCTTTCCAGCACTGGAGTTTTAGTACTCAAGACTTCATCCTCGGTCTTCTCCACTTTCTCTTCTAACTTCTGGTGTCTTGATGAAGTGTGTTGTCCCCAGTATTTTATTTTATGCAGAGGAATTTGCTCAAATGCCCTTCTATTTTTAGCTGGTATTAGGTGTCAAGAGAAGGTCTTATAAAAAGGCAATGGGCACGTGTTGCTCTTTGTGAATTTTAGACAAAATGAAGCTCAAAATTTTACAGTTGTCTTACATTCCAATGTTTTCAATGGAAAATAAAATAAAATCAGGGTCTAATCGTGAGGTAATGTTTATTTCTCTGCCACAACACTCAGTGCACTCCCTCAGATCTGGCAACAATCTAACATAAGGAAAGACTTTAGACATTCACACCCTCTCACCAGAAAAAAAACAACCTTAGCTCAAACTTTCCACAAAGCTGAGAAGTCTCCTAAGACCTCGGTCCTTATCTAAGGTAGATTTGTGTAATGCCGTAAGGCCCTGTGTCAATGTCCTGTACTGCCCAGCTCTGGTCTCCATGCTGAGCAAATCTCAATCGTTACATCCAAAGATCGGGTGCTTTCTACTTTTTAATTAAGGGGGAAAACAACAACAAAACTCAACAGAAGGTGTGTGCTCAAAGAAAATAATGCCAGTTTCACACAGCTATCTCCATTTGCAAAAGCTACACACAGTTCTGGATCTAGTCAATAGCAAAGTACATAAATGGGCAGAGCCTCTGTTTAAGCAGAAGAAAACACATCATAGCTCAAAACTTTCCTTGCAGTTTTTGAAAAAATATATCTATGAAGATAAACATTTTGATATTTTTAATAAGCTGTGCCTTAAGTACACTTTGTTTCCACCACTCTCCGTGACTCTACAGCTCGGTTTTGTCTGCCTGGGCAGGGCTGCTGACCCTGTTGTCTCCTTCCGCGCCGCTGCTGTCTGCAGGTGTGAAAGACAAGGAAGCCGAATTTATGCAGTATCTTTTGCCGGATGGGCGAGGTCCATCATCAAAAATGTGCCCAAGATGAGCACCGCACTGAAAGAGAAGAAGAGCATGTAAGGTAGAAGTATGTACAAAGCCGGCTTTGAGGAGAACACGCGGTAAGCAGTTTGAATGGATGGCTAGCCTGTGCAGAAATGATGGAAAGCATCCTGGATGATTTCGAATCCACCTGTCAATAGCTGCAAGATGGTTTCTGGCAGGCGTCATACCACATGCTGGGAATAAAAAAACACTGGAACTGCACATATCAGAAATCATTTAAAGCCACTGTATTTTTTGATGTGTGAAGTCTCTCAGCCAGCTGAAAAATGACTGCAGTAATTGTATGAATTGAATTGACCTTTGATCTCTTCTTGTAAGAAACATGACAGAATAAAATCTCTACCCCCTGACATCCCGGCATTTCTTTTGGCTTTGGGTAGGTGGGTTTCAGATATGCAGAAGTCCACTGTGAAAGATACTGTTTAACTGGTCATGACGGAGGTGATGTTTGCTTTCATGGGCAGTAAAACTTAACATCAGACAAATATTGGATACTCTTGGAACTCAGGGAAGCAACAGCAAGGCTCAGCAGATTTATGTCACAGTCACCAGGGCTGTAAGTATACAAATGGCAATGTTTCGTGCCACACAATTGTTTTTCCTCACTTCCAATAAGTGGAGTGTCATGCTGGCTTCTTTACCCAAATGAACTACAATATGTGGAGAAGGAATAAGCTGTTTAGCTAAAATCTATGCTACTGACTACTCAAAAAGCTGAAGAAACAGAAAAGGACTAGAGTTTTGAAAGACTAAAAAGGATTGTTGGTTTTGATGGTGTTTAAGCAAAATCTAGCCCAGAGAAAGTGTCTCCAAAAGGGTTGGCTCATTGAATAAAGCCCTACATTAACCGCTTCCCTGTTAGGTAGCTTCTAGTAGATGACCAATGGGATATGTCACACTTAACTGTCTCCTACCCTCTCTCATCAGGGCCGGGGCAGAAGGGAGGAGATAGAGACATTAGCGCACTGCATTCATGAAAACATACTGTTTTTCATGTGACAAAACCCAAAGGCTGGGATGAAAAACTGCCATTCATTTTTACATTTATGCAGCATCATCCTAGACTCCAGAGACACAAACAATAGTCCCTGACTTCAAGGAGTTTTCTTCCTACTGATAGAAACAGACAATACACAAGACAGTAAGTGAACTATATGGTATGGTAGGTAGAAATCAATGCTAAGGAGGAAAAATGTGGTATTGTGATACTAACAAGACAAAGTTTGCAGGTACAAGCCTCCCTGAGATAACTTTGGAAATAAAACCTGAAACAAAAATCTAGGGGAAAACATTTTGAGAAGAGGGAGAATCAAGATTTAGGTAAGAATATGACTGAAAAAGGCCTGTAGATGATATATTAATTTTCACTAAGCTGGCTCAGTGTATAAAATGCTTATAAAGTACAGAAAAAGAGAGTAAGAGTTGACAGTGAATTGGAGCTGAGATACCAAATGGAGATGGTAAGAGAGAAATGAGGAGAATGCTCATTACAATGGAAAGAAGCAGAATGAGAGTTTATTTAAGTTTCCCCATTGAAAGTGCTAAATTCAATTCATAAGAGTTCCCTATTTATTAATAAATAGCACAAATTGCAACTTTGACTATATGGCACTTCCATGTTAAAAGTGCATTCTTATTTTACTGCCAACATGCCGTGTCAGCTAAAGAACTAAAATCAAACCCTGAAATGATTTGATCTATCACCTGGAAAGTATGAAACAGTCCTAAAAAGCAAATCTTGCATTACTTTTACCACATTCAATGCAAGTTTAGGTAATATCAAAGTTGACATCTCAGATTGCTTTTTCTTTCTAGAAACAACTGAGGCCAAATTTTCAGGCATCAGCAGCTACGATGCACCAGTAAAAATACATATGCCTACCCAGTGGACACAGGAAAAAACCTATTTCTGCTTGCTGAAACAGCCAGGGTACAGGTCAACAGGAACTAATGCTCTCAGTGACCAGTGTATGCACACAATTATTAGGCTCACATGCAGCTCTGGCACTTTGATCACTGACATTTGAGAAGTAAAATTTTCACATCAGAGCCTTAGTGTGTGTGTGTGTGTGTGTGTGTGTAGAAAATGTACCTACATGAGCAAAATAAATGATACTGTCTCCCTTTATTAATCACTCCTTGAGAATAATGAGAAAAATGGTTCTTTTTGCACTACTCCAAAAACAAAGAGTAGTAAAGACATACTCAGAATTGTTTAGAAATGAATTATATGCTCTTTATTTCCTAAATAATTTTTTAAAAATCCAAATTAAAGTAACTCAATCTTAAGCTGAGTTGGTTTTCAATTTATTGTTTCATTTCCTAATTTGGAACTAGTCTTCTGGTTAAACAGAAATGAAAACGTCGATTCTAAATACAGTGCTGGGGGCGGGGGATGAGGTAGGAAAAGTTAATATATTTAGGAAAAGGCAACAAAAATCACTTGTGAACAAATAAACCGGTTGGGAATGGATGTGGAGATTTTCAGAAAAGGTGCTAATCCCTCCAAAAATGACAGTGACAGTTTCATGGTGATTGTCAGATGTACTGAAAGATCTGCACCAAAATTACGTTATCAAGGACAGAACATTTCAAAACATAGATTGAGATTCATTTATAAAATCTGTACCACCACATGCATGCCCACCCATTGCCTGTCAAGTGGCAAGGCCATTTGTCTGAGGGAAGACTAACCACACAGTTCTGTGTGAGCTTCCTCCCTAGTACACACCATCTCCTGCAGCAGCTGTTACCCAGTTTCCCCTAAAGTGTACAAGCACTGAAGGCTCTTCCCAGGGGAGAAAGCACATGGAGCCCATTCTTTCCAGCTTCTAGCCTGGCCCAAAGCTGGGATGATGAATGAAAGTTGTCAGTGATGCACCATTTCCTTAGCTGCCCACAAGCTCTGCCTCCTGCCCCAGCCAACTGGCAATGTGTTGGGAATCCCTCACACACCTGGTTGTAACTGAAACAAACTGGTTGCCCGATGAAGAAATCTCTGAAAACTGCTGTTAATGATTTATTTCAGGATAGAATTTTTGATGTGTATTTTGAAAGTTATTTTTAATGATTATGTAGTTCTTTATTTTACAGGTAAATGTAAATCATATCTGAATATTCTAGTCCTCACTTAAGAACCATGAGATAATGGTTTAAAAGAAAAATTTTAATTCCCACAGTAATCCTTCACATCAAAGTCTCTCACTCAGAAAAGTTGGCAAGAATCTACAGAGAACCAAATGAAAGGACCTCCTAAAAAAAAGTGATTGAGCATCAAATTTAACATAATTCCTTAAAATCTGACTGCAATTCTCAATCATGTGCCTGAGAAACACAAATAGTACATTCAACACAGTTACATATTTCTGCACTGATGTATTTCCCACTGTCCTAGAAGGTTTTGTTCCTAGGATGTTTGGGCTTTATTATTGTCATTTTCTCTTAAGTGTTTGATCTATACCATGAAGCATTTTCAAAGAGGGATTTTTACACTTCGGCACATGGGGCAGGATGAGAAAGAAAATAGTTTTAAGAAGAAATGCAATTTACTTTGCCAGTAGTATTCTGTTTTCTTCCACTATTATTGAAGACATTTGTGTGTAGGTAACGGCCCTTTTCCTCTGTGCTTGTGATATTAATCTTTTGCTAAGGAAATGATTGTGAAGTCACCAGTTCAGCATTATGATTTTACTGAAAGATCAAGAAAAAGAGAGATGGGCTGTGATTTTGAAACCCTATTGTAACACATGGGTATCTTTAATCATCAGCAATATATGAGTTGTCATCTGCAGAAGATTAATAAGGTTTGGAGTTTAACCAAAAACTGCATCGGTGGATATTTACCTTTCTGTTGATTTGGCTGACTTAGAACAAATTAATAATGATCTAAAACAAACTTAAAGGACTCTACCATAGATTCAAGTAACAATAGCAGCAGTCACAAATAGACCCTACCAGGGTAAACTCAGGGATCTGACAGTTCTCTTAAGGATTATTACAAAAAGGCAAATGATTTATTAGTCTCCCATTTACTCCAGATGTAGAATTTTGATCTTAAGAAGGAAGAATTCCCCAAGTATTTCCAGGAGGGACTTATTTTACTGACTCCAGCTTTGACCATGCAAATCTTACCTCTTTGCACTGAATTTAAACTCCTGTCAAAGTGTTGCTTATCAGGTTGGGGTTGGAGGATTAGGGAGATGCTGTCAAACAATTAATCACAGTAGTCAGTAAAACTGGAATAAAAGCAATGAATTTTACTGCGAGCTGAAAATATAAATAAAACTAAGGAAAACTGTTTGTAATTGAAAATTGCTAGAAAATGGTTGTGACCGGGGAAGATACTTGTGCTCACCACTGACTAGAAAGATGCTTTCTGGAAAAAAGAATCAGAATGCAATTTTTCAATTCAGTAGGTAGAACAGCAAAGGAAGAAATATGACTGGAACACAACTCAAGATGCACAGGGTCTTTCCTTCATGTGGCAGTGAAGAATCTCTCCTATACTTGTGGTCGTCTGTTAACCATGATCAAGTGTCGTGCTTGGTTTCTTACAGAACATATCTTTTTTAAAACTTCTTAGAAAAAATGGAAATAGGACTGAACCAGTCTTAACTTAGTCAATGAATGTTATTACCTAAATTTATTTGCCTTGTTTATGCCTCAGTTTTCTCAGTTGAAAATAACCTACCTCACAAGGTCACTGGGAGCATTAACCCAGGGAGCTTCCCGAAATACTGTTATGCTGGCTCCACTCAGTTCAATTAAATTAGTCTCTGAAGATGAAACTTAGCATCACAAAAATGCCATTATCATAATCAGAGTCTCATTTATGAGGAATAAGAGTGAACTGAAAATGAGATTTAGATACAATATGCTTTTCCAGTTAGAGAGTGATTCTCATATTGAGCAGACAGTAAACTTGCCAGCCTTGTTTAAAGAAACAAACAAACAAACTGAAAACAGAAATTCACCAGATGGTGAGGTTCAAACCCATCTTTCTCTCTACTAGGTAGTAAATATGCCACCTACTCCCTAAAATCTTGTGCTTGATGAGGTAGTTAAAGAAAAATGGATAAAGGGCAAGCAGAAGAATCCTGAGGGAGGTATCCGTGGCAATCACTTTGTTGCCTGATGGTGCCTCCTTTACCTCTGATCCATGCAACAGACATTTCCAGACAGAACACTCTAGTATTAATGAATGTCAATGCCAGAATTCCCAAACTGTGCATTACACTTATTTAAAGCAGATTAGGGAAATCGAGGATGTCTAGTAGAGAATGTACTGTTATTCTTATTCTGTGTCATGAAAATAGCTATATTTCTGAGTTTAAGCACAAAATGCCCACATATTTAAGGTTCTCAATAAAGTATTCTTGTACCCTCTTCAAAATGTGTTAATGTCTTCCCTTTGAGCCAGCATTAATTTGTTTAGAGAAGAACTGAAAAAAATAATTAGAACATCCTTGAAGATGAGGATAGGTCTGTGAAGCAGGAGAAGCAGATAAAAGAATTACTTTATGTCATAATCCCACTACCCTTACTTAGCCTAAATAAACTGCTTTTACAAGGTCTCTTCAACTTCCCTTCTAATGTTCACCCAAGGAAAACCAGTTCTGGAGTCTCCATTGATTGTGTTTATATTGTAGGATTGAACAGTGGATACAGAGAACTGCAGGGCCATAGGGATTATCAAAAAAGTATGTTATACAAGACCATATAAATAAAATCTTCAGATGCCCCAAGAGTAGCCCACAACTTGTGACACTGAATCAAATGAAGATTGTTTTTCCTACTAATACTATTTAATAGTGTTGAAGCCAAGGACTGCTCTTTCATCAGACAGGCCCTAACCCAACTTCCAATCCTAACCCTAACTCTAACACTCAAAGATAGAGGAATCATTCAGACTTTGATAAGAATTCCTTGGGCTTGTCTGTCCTAATGAACAGTTACATGACCTAGGTTGCTCTATTTTGTAAAATTAGGAGTCTTGAAAGTGTTTTCAGCGCCATGAGTATCCTACTGAGATTTCAGGTGGGTTAACTGACCTGAGAGCAGCTCGTTTCCACCCTGTGCATCCCATAGGAAAAGTCATCTGTAAATGTGATTGCCTCAGAACTGATCACATCGTGGAACGAGGGCCAACCTGAAGCAGAAAAGCGAGGAAAGACAACTTAGAATGCAATTTAGAAGACACACTAAGCAAATAATGCAAGTCCTTACTATATGACTCATGTTTAACTTTTTCAACCTGAAAATAAAGATCAAAAGCTGAAGAATAATATATTTCATAAGGATACAATTATTTTTAAAGAATAACCATTTATTCACATTCACATTATAGCTATATTAGGGGTTTGTATTTCATGAGACAATTTTAGACCATTCAACAGTTTTTTTAAAGCATCCCCTAACTTAGAAATCTCTTTGTTACCATGTTTTCTCTTGTCTTGAGTCCCTGAAGCCTTCTGCTTGCCCTTTATTCATAATTTTCCATTATGACATTTTCCAAAACACAGTCAATTGGTCTGCTAACTTGTAAACTACTCCAGTTTCTTCAGAAAGTGTGCTTTTTCAGTAGATGTACTTTGGATGATTGAAGTATAAAAAGATAAATATCCTGTTGTCTGCATCTTAATCTAATTTTTGGGACAAATTTATCGGACAGCCTAACTTATATTTCATGGGGAAGAAGATTGCTCACTTCTTAGGAAAAAGTCTTGGAGCATCATTCCTCAGCACTAGTTTTTGAATAGGGTATTGTTCCAATTCTCATGTATTCTAATAACTTAAAAAATGAATTCACAATTTAAGAAATTTGTTGGAAAGAGGATCACCAAATCTGCACATTTGTTTTTCTTTTTTGGCAGTACTAGAAACTGAACTCAGTTCTGGGGACTAAACTCAGGATGAGCTACATCTCCAGCCCTTTTGAAATTTATTTATTTATTTTTTTTGAGACAAGGTCTTGCTAAGTTGTCCAGGCTCAAACTTGCAATCCTCCTGTCTCAGCCTCCAGACTTTTGGGATTACAGGCATGTACAACCATGCCCAGTTTGTACAAATTTTTGAGTGTACAGTCAGGTTTTACATTCAATAACTACTTCCATGTTGGAAGAGACACTTAAAAAAACTAAAACCAAAAACTAATAATAGTATTTCAAAATTCCTTCAAATTCAGTGTCCTTTTGCATCATAAAGAAAAGAATCTGATTTTCAAAATTTCAGATCAAGATTCCTACAAACCACTTGAAAATCATCAACATTCTAGACTCTTAACTTTTCACAAGTATATTATGCTGACATTCATTAACATTCTCAAGGAAACTAATTTCTCCCTATTATTTGATATGTCACTGAACTCTTGATCAGTGAGACTGACGAGAAAAACCACCTTGTTGAAGCCTTGAATCACTTTTGAAGGAATACATTTTAAAAGAGAATCATGGCCAATATCACTAACAAGGTTAATAAAGGACATTGCCGAGTTGCTTTCCTAAATTTTTCAGAAAAAAACAAAACTCTATGGAAAGAGAATCCTTCAGAAAGGAAAGTCCTGTATGACAATTGAGCTAAGAAGGACCTTCATCCAAGAATAAACTGGCTTATGGTAGAGAAGCCACAGGGATGGCAGCACTTTGAAAGTGGAATTCCCTCATCATGTGAAAGTATTTAAAGGAGGAACTCTTCACTGCTGTAAAAATCCTCAAAGGAAACCCTGCCCCCACTGCTAATAATAAGGACAGTGCTTCAAAGAGTGATAGGCAAAGACTGAAGCAATCTGCGTCTTGTTGAGAAAATTATCTTGAGTAAAAAGATTGGGGGAGGGGAGTATGTTTATGTCAGTTTTGACATTAAAGAAAGATCATCCATCCTCCTTTCTGTAGGCTTTTCCTTTTGGTCTACTCATCTAACAAAACATTATTTGTTTTGGATGCATTCCATGTACTTTGTAAAAGAAAAGTCATGTGAAAACCTGTATAAACAGAGTGGGCTCAGTCCATTCCCAATACATCCTTTTGTTTCTATATGGTGAGGTTGGATTTGGGCCTATTATCATTTTGTTTTTAAAAATATAAACTGTACTTCTTAGATATTAGTATACTAGTCTCAAGAATATCATGTTTTCAATAAATATGTTCTCCCCTTGAGGAATTTTTATTTCTAGAGAGCAAATAAACACAGTTACTACAAATGCAACTGATCTGTTTTGCTTCAGTTTTATTTAATCATCAGATCACATCAATCTGCAGTTATAACTCAGGATTTCTTCCGTTTGCTAATATGAAGCAAATCCAGGACATGCTCAGTTATGTCTCTAACGTAAGAGTAAGTGATCCAAATTATGAGGAGTGGCTCCTTGATGCTTGCTACCAACCACACTACAATGGAATTTTTTAAAGACTGCCGTAAAAAGGATTACTTCACCGTTATCCATAATTTAGCTCTGAACCCACTCAAATCTGTAGTTGAACAATGACATGGCTCTCAAAAGTAGACTTCTGGTGACAAAATTTACATGTTTTTTTCAAACTTCTTCTTAAGAAAAACTCATCTCCCTAACTCTATCTATTCCTTTCAAAAATCTTTAAAACATATTTTCAAATTAGAAACAAGTAATAAGTTGAAACCAATCCATCTGGACGAAGTTTAGAAAGTATAGCCCTCATTCCTCTCATCTTAATTTGACAAACATTGGTATATAACTTCCAATTCCTTTACATTCTTTCCTTTCCCATAAATAAAAACTAGAAATTTCGGTAAGATAGCTATATGAGCAGTCACTGGAACACAGCAGAAACTACTCATGGAAATAATTTATTATATTGAAACATAATTACAAATATTTTATAATTTTCAAGTGTAAACTAAGTTTGAAGACAATGAATCCCAGTCAGGCATGGGCAATGGCTTAAAAATGATGATTTTTATTTGATAGTTTTGGTAAAACAAGTGGGAGATGCAGATCAATGTTTCTGTAGTGCTCTATGATTCTAGAAACATACTTGAAAATTTGAAACCTTGAGTTTTTCTGTAGCTAAAATCTGTTCACCTTCCTGACCGTAATTTTCCTTATTAGCTACCTCAAAACAATGAAACTTTCTATGAAAGCCCCCTGCTGACAAGAATTATTTGAAGCTTAGATCCCTGATTCTTGCCAAATTATTCACTTGAATTGACATTTCAAGTATAACTTTTATCTCACTTTAAAAAGGATGAGTCTCTACTCTCCTTCAAAGTCCCATTTGGTTGCAATCTAGTCTTCCAAAAGTTTAAGTAGTAATCAAACAAATATATGCATGCCGTAGAAAGTCAAATAGTGCAAGATGGCTCCTAATGAAATTTTTCCTTTCAATTTTTTACCCTCCCACAGGCAACTATGATTAATAGATTTCCTATTTAATTCTTTTTAAAAATATGCTTATGTTGCTATCTCTTGATTTGTTCATTTTAAACCTATGTTGTATTGTACTGGCCACTATACTAATTATTGATCACATGGTACAATTTAAATTTAAACTGAATTACAGTTCCTTAGTCACTAGAGTCACATTTCATGTTCTCAACAGTCATATATATTATGCTGCTATATTAGACAGCACAGACACACTTAGAACATTTCCACGATAATATCCACAGACACAGAATATTCCCACTATTAGATAATGCTGTTTTAGACATTATGAATTTATTTCTTCTTATTGATTTCTTCTTCAAGGGAAATTTATCATTCATATACAAACTTATATTCCCCCTTTCCAAGTTTTTTTTCCCCCTTTCCAAGTTTTTATACTTACATTATTTTTAATTCTTTTCAAATCTCATTTCTGTCTGCCCCTAAACTGAATGTAAGTTCAGTTTAAAAAGGGAATTTTTTTTTTTGGTCATCAATTTTTAGGACTCATGCCTAGATGTCATGCAGTCATAGGTAGCGCTTTTTCAGAGGTGGCTGAATCTACAGTATGTGACTGGTTTATGGTACAATGCTAGGGCTAAGGGTGCTAGGATTAAGGGTGGGTGATTACTAAATCTTCACTGATCTGTTTGACACTGTTCTAATCCCAACAGCCTAGACATAATATGAGACAGAAAGAGGCTTATCTTGCCCCTTGCTTGCTTGTGTTGCTACCTTCTGCCTGCCACAGCTGTTTTTACTCTGCATTGCTTGTCTGCCATGCTGCCCTGCTTTGGAGCCAGCCAACTATGGACTGAAACTTCTACAAACTTTGAGACAAATAAATCTTTCCTCCCTTAACTTTGGGTATCCAGTATTTTGTCACAGCAATGAGAATAGTAACTATGACACCAATGTATTTCCAACTACCTAAACTAATGCCTACATGGAAGAATTACATGAGCCTGGGAATTCAAGACTGGCCAATGTAGCAAGATCACATTAGGTACTTAAAATAGTGCCTACTACATAAAAGGTGCTCCAAAACACTATGTAACTCATGAAAAATAAATATCCTATAGCTTGAGATGATACTGATTGACATCCTACTCTATAAAATTGCCTTTGCTGCCCTAACACTCTTGGAAATTGAGGCAAAAGGATCTCAAGTGTGAGTTTAGGTTAGACACTTAGTGACTTAAGTGAGATCCTGTTTCACAATTTTAAAAATTTCTAAAAGGGCTTGAGATGTAGCTCAGTGCAGAGGCATTGCATGCAACCCCCAGTTCCGGGGAAAACAAAACAAAACAAGAAACTGCTTTAACATCCTCATCCTCTCTATAACTGCTTTCTCTCTATTCTACTACCAAGCATAATTAACTGTTCTGCGTTTTCCTATAGATTCTAACAGCAGAAAACTAATACAAAAATTAGCTAAAGATAGTTAGGATAGTATTTATTTCTCCACAATCTGATTATTATAATCCCATGCTGCCTAAAGTAAAAAAAAATATTTTATTGAATCACTATTAAAGTGTGTGCCACATTTATTTTTGTGCATGACTATTACACAGTGTACAAAATTTTTCTGTTACTCAGGATATTAACTTTTGAATTTTTAATTACAAGTGTTTTAAGAATAGACAAAAAACAGCACTAACTACCTATCTTTAACAAATACTTACATTATTTTCTATAGCTGCTTCAAATTTTTTTCTTTCTCTCCAACAAAGAAAGATGTTCTAATTATA